CTCCAAATAATACAATACTCTCCACAAAAAGTAACACAAAAGGTCCACATCTGACATAAGTTTGCAAATATTTTTCAACCATTAATTTGCACAAGTTAGGGCTGCTAAGAAAGTGTGCATCTTTCGCACACCTCCCAGGGGGCCTGCGCTTTATTAGACACAGGTTTAAAGCCGGTGCTTTCCCCATGAACAAGCTCCCTCCTCTGCCCCCGCCTCCTCGCACGCCACAGCCGAGGCAGAATCCCTCGCTTTCTTGTCTTCAGTTTACAGATTATGAGATCCAGAGTGTCACTCACTGGATTACTGCACATAACCTGAGCGCTACCCAAAGCTTACTTGTCTCCAACTTGTCCAGTGTTACTTAAATGGAATTATCCGTCACAATCCATATGCCGAATCTGCATAGCCCACTTATCTCAAGATTCTGTGTGTCACCTACCAGATTATCCGTTTTAATCCATACATTGAATCTACATAACATATGTCTTTAATTCACGGGCTCTGACGAGCTATAGTATCACTGAATGGATTATTTCTCTTTATCCATTATTGGCAGTCCTAAGACTGTTCAGTGCATACTCTCTCATGCCCCATCTCCTGAACACATGAGTAAGATTAAAGTCCTCAGCAAACCAGGCTCTATCGTACATCAAACACAGTTTGATATAAATACCTGCACTGATGCTTCATGCAACTCGGAGCGTAGGCTCTCGGACAAAATAAATGCCTGTGTCAGAATGCATTAAACATTAGGGCTGGCAGACTAATCTTCCTTTCAGTCACACTTACACATCTGGAGTAACTGCAGCAAACTCCATGGAGTCACCTAGACTTCAGGGTACTCAGGGGAGAGCCAAATCTGCCCTCCTGATGATCCCTTTTGTGGTGGGGGCAGAAAACAACCACAGTTCATGGGCGTTGTTGAGGAAGAGACCTGTGCAATGGATTTTCAGGCAAACAAAACGCGGGCCAGGCCCGGGCCTGCCCAGGGGCAGTCACCGTGACCGCTGCCTTCGCCTCGCACAGGCCCCGCTCCCAGAGACTGGAAACGAGAGCCCGGCAGCCGATTGTTCTGCACGCCCGGCCGCAATCAGCCAAGAGGGGAACCTATAAAATATGTATTATTTTTGCTTGACAACTCCTGATAAGTGTGAGATGAACGAGATAGGCCAGGCCCGGGCCTGCCCAGGGGCAGTCACCGTGACCGCTGCCTTCGCCTCGCACAGGCCCCGCTCCCAGAGACTGGAAACGAGAGCCCGGCAGCCGATTGTTCTGCACGCCCGGCCGCAATCAGCCAAGAGGGGAACCTATAAAATATGTATTATTTTTGCTTGACAACTCCTGATAAGTGTGAGATGAACGAGATAGCGAAAGGGCCTTGTGCACAGTGGGGCACTTTTGAAGAGAGTTTTCCTCACCTCACGAGGAGGATGAGCCCTCCTCCCTGCAGGCGATCAGCTTGAGGCCCGACGCGCCCTCTGCTTCTCCGGATACAAACCTGCCTCACCCATGAATAACCCAGGGGCCTTTTGTGGCCTCTTCTCAAACAGGACAGATACAGGTGGTTTTGTATATGCTTCAGCCAATTCAATATCGTTTTGCAGTTTTAAGTATTTTAATTAACTGCATGTTTTGTGCATTTGACTAGAGACTGGCTTGTTCTGAACAGAATAAAAATTGAAGGGTTTTCGTAACAAAATTTCTTAAGAAATCTCCACTGCCAAGCTTGGATTGTTTATGTAGCCTCATCCTACCTCGCTAAGTACACAGTCACATTTGAATTACATTTCTACAGATACAACAGCTTCTAGATTGTGCCCCATTTTAAGTATAAAGGAATTTCCTTGAAATACATTTCAATCAAGCTCTGGCATGTAAAATTATATTTTATTTTTCTTTAGTAGCTAGACATCGATAGATCCTTTTAACTGAGGCATTAAAGTCTCTAACTAGAACTCTGTAGACAGTTTGTGATGGTTCTTCCATTTTATAGGCACATAAATGAAGAAAAGGGGGCTTAAAATAGCCTCTCAAAGCAACAAAACAGGAGGAAGAACCGAATACGAAACTAGGGAATCTGGCTGCTTATTCCAGCCATTCACAAACTTTCCTACCTTTAATAAAATATTACTGTTTTCTAACCTCAAAGAAATAATATGAGTAGCAAATAAAGGCTTCTACTCACTCTCCCTTTCTTTTAATCTCTACCAGGGAATAAACTTCTATGGCAGTAACACAGACTTGAGCATTAACAATATGTAGTCTAGTGCTGAGACTTTAGCACATGACGTACTAAAACTCCCCCAGATCTAATGCAAAACACAATGCAATTTTGAACAGTTAGATGGAAAAAACTATTCAGAGCATAAGACAGTTGGACAGTACAGCTTCTAGTACAGTCCGCATTCCAGGGTGTATTAATAACAAGACACTACTTGGGCAGTGTTTCCAAATATCACTAATAGAGAACCGAAAAAAGAAAGAAAGAAAAAAAAGATCAAAAAAATGCATCTGCCAGGCGAAATATAGGGAGAAGTTAATTAAAAAGAAAAAAAAAAACCCACACAACTGGCAAACTTAATAACTCCACATTCACACGGAGGGACCAAAGCCCCTTGGGGAGTACTCCGGCCGGGGGCGCTTGCTCGCGCGCCCGCGAGCGTGGCCGGGCGGCGCTCGCGCACCTTCCGCGCGCGCTGTCCCGCCACACACAGCTGCGGCACAGCTGAGCCATTGTTCGGGCTCCCGGCCGCGGTGCCATGAGCACCGCATTCCTGGGCACTCCACAGTCAGCCGCCGTGACCCCCCAAGAACCTGTAAGTCAAATTCATTTACCCCCAGAGGGCCGTGCTCTATTGTATCCTCCCTCCTTTCCAGCCACCTAGGAACAATGGACAATAATTGCAACTGTCACGGCAGTCAGTAGGAAAAATAAACCCGCGCCTGTTTTCACAGCTTACTGCCAAGCCCCATCCAAACACCTAATAACCATGCCCCGGCCGACCGTGGAGGCACCGTTGCCCTGGAAAGCCTCAGATGTGAGGCCTTTGAACGGGGCTGCAGAACAATAACTCAACTTGTGCTCAAAATATGAAGCTAAAAAACAAAAATTAAAGCAAAGCAAACTCGGCTTTGAGGCTGTGCTGTTGCTCCCATCCTCCCCCCGGGCAAGACGGAAAGAAGGGCTGTTGAATTGCTTTGGTGCTAGTGTATAGCTGCCGCCGCCACTGCTTTCAAGTTGAGCTTGTGAAGAGGGAAGAGAGGAAGGGAGAAAAAAGCTCGGCCTCCACCAGAACAAGATCAGAGGGCCGTGGAGCAGCCTGCCTCGCCAGCGCACCGCGCGCTGCGGAGGCGCTTTGCTCGGAGCCCGGAGAAGAGGAGGCTCCCAGGAGCGCTTCCAAACCTCGGGCAGACGGGAGTCAAGGCCGCCCCGCGCGCGTGGCAGCCCTGCTGGGACTCGCACTGCAGAGGGAAGCTGCCCGCTCCCTGCGCCCGCCCGCGGCTTGGGAGCTCCAGCAGGGCTGCAGACGATGCTGCTGTGCTCAAACAGCTCAGTCTTCAGGGCCTTCCCTACCTCTTTATGACCTGTTGCTTTACACGCATGACAAAAATAAGCTCTGTGGGAATAAAGAGCTCTGGGTTGGCCCTCTGTTATAATAATAATAATATCTCAGCCTATTTGGGGCCGAAGCACTGTATTCTGTTGCAAAGTTATCCTACATATGTAGCAGCTACGCATTTTTGAATTACAGCCTCTCGGGGAGAAGCTAGGGGAAGTAAGTGGCATACTTTCCTGCTTGTGTAAGTCGGCAGGCCTAGAGCAAAGTAGTGCTGGTGGCTTGTTTGTGACAGGTTGGAAGGCACACAGAACTGAAATAACCCCAAGCCTGCACATGCACCAATATATCAGCCCACAGAGCAATTCCACAGATGTGGTTTCATGTTGTATGCTTTACTGCATGTTGCCATCTCCTGCGCAGAAGGGCCTTAAGCCTTCTAGGCGCGAGCCCTGGGAGCTTATCTCAATAAGGATCTCGGCACTGGGGCCAGCCGTAGTAAACAGACCAGCTAGAAATAATGAGAGAAATACAGGGCAGTTCAGAAAAACAAAACAAAACAAAGCAGAGTTCAATTTTAATCGCATACCACTTTAACAACTCCAAAAACCATTGGCTTTGATTGTGCTACTCCAGATGTACACTGATATAAATGAGAGAAGAATCAGAGTCACTGTTTCTTTTCAGAGGGATAATGGCTGCTCTGGAAACTATGTATTTTTGACACACATCTATTTTGAGTCATTTCTTCATCACAAGTAAGGAAGAAGAATTACAAAACTATTAAATTACATGAAAACAACTACAGGTTCCCTTACAATGACCTCATATATATAAAATGGGGAAGTATTTTGGCAAAGCAGAGGCTACTGCTGCTGGAGAGTGGTCAAATTTTGTCATTTTCCTTCTGGAGCAGGGCTTTAAAAGAACATGCTTTAGTGCACAGATGTTGTACGCTGTCTTTTAAAATCTGCACCGGCTAATTTCAGTACCTAGAGGTATCATTACACAAACTTTGCTCTTTTTTTGCTATGCACAGAAAAGTCAAATATATTTCCATCACCAAAATCTGTCCCCAAAACAGCAAGGACTTGTGGTCATGGTCAGATTTCAGAAGTTGAGATCTACTATAGCTCAACATCATATAAGTCTATGTTTGATACGTGAATTGACTTTTATTTCAGCCTAACAATAGGATTGTGTCTTGTAACACAAAGCAAAACATGCAACAAAAGCAAAACATAAGTTCAGTAACGTAGGAGAACATGCTATTTCATTTCTTTCTATTAACTACAGACACAGAGCATACACTTAACAGTTAAGTGCCATTTAAGATGTTTCAAGCAGAGGGGAAGGAAGAGAAACAAACAAGCAAAGTTCCATAAAGGCAGCGACAAACATATTTTTCATTTGCAATTTGCTTTAGCACAGAAATGGTGTTACCTTTTATTTCTCCAAAGTTCCCTGATCCCATGGCAAGAAGTTTGTCTTTCCAGTCCTTTGATAGTAGCTTTTCAATACTGGGAGTTTCTGAGTGAAGGAGGGGAAAAAAAATGTAAGCAAATCAACATGACTGTCCTCACAATAGAACTCATTAAAAGTCTATCTGCTAAAAATAAGGCCAGCCCTATGCTGGGCCCCAGTTCATAATGACTTCATCAACAAACTGATAAGCGGGGAGGGGAAGAGAAAAAAGAAAAAAAAGAGAAGGGAAAGAAAAGAAAAGAAAAAAGAAAAAAAGAATGTGTTTTGTCACCTGCTGTTTCAAAACCATTAGCTTTTTCCTCTTGTGGAACAAAGCCATAGTAATTCCCTATGACAATGGGTACACATAAACCTGCAGTTCATTGTTTTTCAATTTGGTGAACTAGTTCCTGCTTTTAATGGATGCTTGTCAAAGTCGGGGTGTAAGGCTGCAGTCAAAAAATAATTATGTTGATAAAATGCAGAGCAGAGAGAGAGAGAGGCAGAGAGAAAGAGGGAGAGAGAGAAGCAAAGAATTAGCTCCTAAATCTGCTACATGTAATTATATCCCTCTGAGTGTTTACAATTACATCCACTTTATAATGTGTGTTTAAACATCGCGTGGTGGTAAGCATACTGTGGCAAGATTTTCCAGTAACACGCACATTATAAATAATAATAAAAAGTTGGGTATGAAAAATGCTTTAAACGGTTGCAAAATCCAGGGAGAGAAAAGGCAATGCCGAGAATGGAAACCCATTATTTGCTCATTTCAGATTCTATCACTTCCTTTAAAAATAAAATAAAATAAAATATATTTGCTCAGTATTTCCAGGAGAAATGCACTGAGGGTGTGGATGGGTCTGATATTTATGTCTATAACTCTTGTATTCTGACCTCTTTTTGTGTAGAATTTTAATGCATAAGTAAATATAAATGCTAATAAAATTCAGAGAACATTAAACTCAATTCCAAACAATGTAATTGTATATTCTTGTCAGCATTTAGATGGGTACACAATTACAATAGCTTTCAATCCCACGATTAGCACTGCATTCAGTTAGAAAATGGAGTGTACTAAAAGATAAGTGTCCCAGTATGCGCCATCTAAATAACAATACCCACACTTATTATCTGGATCTAAGACATATACTGCTATTCTCCACATTTGTGTTTATGTGTATTTGTATTTGTTCAGGCATTTGTTTACCCCCTACTAGGAGCATAAAGGGAGTACATGTTAACTTATCAAAGGGACCGTCTGGCCTAGAGACCATACAATTATTAGCAACTGGTTAATTTTCCCCACAGTAAAAACCATTCCGAGGAACCTTCATTATCCTGTTGGGCTAATGCTGCTTCCTTCCTTGAACCCCCAACTTGAGGCGCTCAGGGAACAGCGCTGCAAAATCCTCGCGCCCATTCCAAGAGAACGGCAGCGCCGGGGCTTTTCCCCCTTCCACTTTCCTTCTTTAAATGCTATTAATGTTTCCCTTTTTTACCTCTGTACAAAGCGTTTGTCGAATACAGAGAAACGAGCCAGCCCAGATTCCCGTTAAATACAGGCCCGCGAGCGCACACACGCACACGCACGGAGTCTAACACTAATGCAGAGGTAACGGCAGTGCGGGCGGCGCGCGGACGCTCTCTTGCTTCACGGCCTACGTGCCCGCGCGCCGCCATCCCGTGCGGCGCTGGGGGCTCAGCAACGGGCGGGAGCCGAGAGATTCCCTGCGGCTGGTGGATAGGCTCTGTAACACCCGGCCTCCGATGTGATCTCGGAGAAGCGCGACGGGATGTTTCCCGCTCTCCGCTCGCGTCGAGGTTTGCTCCCATTGCTAAGCAAGGATTCAGTGAGCGTGGGGCCCTTCATGCGGGCTCCTTGCTGTAAAGCCTGAAACTGCAATGGAGCAACATCGGCGGAGCGGCCAGGAGCTGCCCTGCAGTTAATGTTTCTGAGGTGCAGGTCGTGGCATGAAGACTCCACCATGCCTGTCTCAGAGGCCTCCATAGTTTGCGCAGATCCTGCATGCACTCCCTAACTAAATCCTTTTTTTGTTTTTTTTTAAAGCTATCAGAACAGATCAGATAAACCCTGCTGGTTTGTTATTTTATTTTTTTTTTATTTTTTTTATTTTATTTTTTTTGGGAGGCGCATGCGAACAGGCTGCAGCCTGTCGGTCCTGAGGAGGCGGGCGCCCATTGCGGGCAGACAACAGGCCGGGGGCTGCGCTCGCCCGTCTGTTGCCAGCAGCGTCCAGCCCAGAGCTCTTCCCCTGCAGCAGGGCAGAATTCCTGCCGTAGGAATTCCCAAAGGAGCATGAGCTGCCACGTGAGAGCTGCCGCGGCGCTGTGGCAAGAGGCCTTGGTCTCTGGGAACCCCCCAGGAGCACCCGGGATTCAGCTAAATCCGACTGTCATTAGTTTAGGGGTTATTTTTTGTTGTTGTTTTGATTTTTTGGGGGCTGATCAATAAATATGCGATTGACTCGGTGGCCCCGGCGCAACTCACGTTACAAACGGTGATGCCTGCAACCCGATTCCGCTGGTAATTTGGGGAAGAGCTACCACAAACAGGCGAGGAATAATGAAGGCGAGGGATGGCCCATGTATCAATGACGGAGTTTCTGCTCGACTGGTGGGGATCTCGGTAGGAAATCATGATTAGAGATGTGAAAGGCCAAATGGCAAAATCCCAATAGTAACAATGCATCTGTTCATTAATGTGTGAATATGAGTAATATGAAAATTTAACACAATTATAAGCCCCTCTGCAATCCTAATGGCATAAAATAGATTGTGGTGATCTAATCAGCATCTCCCCTGTTGAAATACTGTATGTTAACTATTTAAAATAAAATTATATAGATTTTTTGGTTTAAAAAGAAACCTGTAATCATGTTTAATTGATGTACTAACTTAGTTTCAAACCTCTCTTGAAGCGCAGTTTTTTCATGCAGCACTTCTACAGAATTTTGATATAGAAGCAGCAAACAATTCTCTTTGACCTAACACTAAAAAAAGCTTTAAATCTTAAAGACAATAGATTGCCCACCCCTGCAGCTGCAGAGGCCTAGAGATCTACGCTAAATTAAAGCTTGTTTCATTCTATTGCATACCGTGTTAACATATTGTACGTACATGAAATACTCTATTCATACACTCAACCTATCACATTTCAGTGCTGCTTGTGAGCGACATTATGCACCAGATCTTGGAAACAAACACTTATTATGTCATTTATGCACTCCATTAAAAAAAGATTTGAAATTTACACGTATTAAATAAAAATAACTGTTTTAAAGGTTACAACTGAAGAGCTTTCATGAATTGTACAGAAACAAAGCAGTCTTGTTTTGTTTTGCCTTGTTTTGTTTCTTTTTTTTTAGACTACATTGGGAAGATGATGCTTACAAACAAGGAAAAGAAATCTACACTGTTTCTTGTTTGGGAAGCACTCATGCCCAGCATTCATTAGCAAGTCAATAAAACTTTTAATGCTTTCACATGTAGCGCACAGCTCAAAACTGGAAAAGGTGGTCTGCACGCAGGAACCGGTCTTCTTAATCCCTATGCTAACATTTATTCTCCCCTTGGATGTTACTGGACTATCTTGCTACGTCCCAGTAATAATGGGACAAATTCTGGGTACAAGCTACACACCAGGACAACTATTATTATAATCTGTATTTGTGTTTTCAAAGAGCCAGTGCTGTGTGCTCTGCCGTCCCGAGTATCACGACTGCTCAGAACGTCTCTCGACTGCATTTTCATGGGAACCCAGATGCAGTCACTTGAGCAAAACCCTCTCTGTCACCTGTTTGCAATGCAGGTCCTATGGCACGCAGCAAAACCACTTCCAGGTCTATCCACAGCCACATGAGCACATCTACACAACACCTGCGAGCAAGCTGCTTGTGAACAGTAACTCCATAGTGTGTGTGGAACACGGCAGTTCCAGGCGGCCCGAGGGCTGGTGGCAGCAGCCAGGGCCGGGCGCGCGGTGCCGCTCCCGCCAGTCGCTCTCGTCTGGGAACGTGCGTGCACGCACGCGCTCGCCCAGGTAGCACACACATACCATACGTACGCTCCTCCTAAAGGCTGCCTCGCTCCTGCCCAGCAGTGCACGTGCCCCTGGGAGCGCCTTCACGCGGCCCTCCCTGCAGCCCTGCCTCGCCAGTAGCTCTTTTGAATCCATGCTGTCAGGTCAGAGATCCTAGAAATCTGCTCATAAAAGCTTCATATGTTCCTCACTACCAAATCTCTATTACCTCTTTCTGCTCCTGTTGGTTATTTACCAAAGCAGGAGCCCACTCTTTCAGCCTCGCACAGCTGCCTGCTTTCAGATAAAGGGAAGGAATTCCATCCCGCTGCAACAAGGTGTGGGGCAGGCAGGGGCACCCACCACCAAGGCACCTCTAGGGGAGCAGTACTGAGGAGGGAAGGAGAGAGCCGAGTCCCGACACTATGGGGAAAAGACCATTGCTCCAGCAGGGTAAGAGGGCAAGAACAGCAAGCCTCAAGTGAAAGAGCAGTAGTGCAAGGCCTGGAGGCGCGGCTGGAACGGGCCCTGGGCTCGGGTGTGCCGCTCCGCAGGGCTCCCTCCGCATCGACTGCGAATGCCGCACGCGCCTCCTGGCATGAGCGAGGGAGGCTCCTTGGGACCCAGAGAAAGAAAGAGACACTTGGCCGCAAGAAGGATGATGACATGAAGTGCAGCAGGGTGGAGAGAAGCCAGAAGTTGCTCAATACCTAGCCAGACCACCAGACACTTCCTGCCAACACATGTCATTCCTAGAAGAAGGAGTATTCAGTCGGCACAAATGATCATGAATAAACTTTAACATTGGCTGATATACCCTCCACTTCTGGCAGGCACCTTCCTTTATATTATGAAAGCGCTGGCAGACAAGCATCACCCATCCATTATTCATCCTCCTCTCCTGCTACAGCCATCGGTGGTTCACACCTGCTGGCCCCGGTCCCACCCGCCAGATCCTCACCCAGCAAAGGGCCGTCACACCGACACGGCGCTCGCGCACCGCAACGGGCCCTGGCTGCTGCAG